CCATTTGTGGCTCCTCCGGGCGCGCATGCCCGCTATTGCGCAGATGCCCATGTTAGCCCGGCGGTGGGTTTTGGTGCCCCTGTTAGCCCGGCAGCGGGTTTTGTCGTGATTTTATAAGGGATATTCACACAGGGACTCATGAATACGATGTACACTACTCGCTAATATAGTCCTCTGCCATGAGCTCGTCTGGTGGGAGGTGCCCGACGAACGACATGAGCGTGGACAGAAAGAAAGATGTGTCACAAGATGTGACGCTGTCGCTATGTCATGCCTCCTTGATGGTCGATATCAAGGCAATCAGTGGAGTAATGATCCGACCCACATGGCTTACAATCGCAACATTGGATCCGTTTCTTCTTCATTCCTTCGGACACGATAAGATTTGCGGGCTAAATAGCCACCGAGAATACATGTGAATAATTTAATTTGTTACGCTGAGCTTCATGTGGACACTGCGGCCGTCGGGGATTCGCTGACAACTCTGATCTCGAAATTAGTGGAAAGCAGCCCAAGAATTCCCACTGTCTCGTTGATTGCCCGACAGAGTGATCCAAGTGGGAAGACATTTGTCCTGTTTTTCCATGCCCATTGCGTATCTGCATGGGGCTCTGCAAACTGCACCACCACCTTCGACGGATCTGACAATTCGGGGATGATTTCAGCGTATTTCCCGATGTCTGCATCAGATCTGGAGCAGTCGTGACCGATGATGATGACCCGTCCACGTGCAGCACTGATACAGCGTCCATCGGCAAGCGTCCTGACTGGCTCGAGACATTCTGCCGGGACAAGGGCATCGGTAAATCCACCCAGCCGAATCTGCACGAATCTCAGCATGAACGCGTGCCGTGACCAGTCCATCTTCTGTGAGGGCATGACAATGCCGGTCTTCTCCGCATGCTCAAACGTCTTGCGATTAAAAGACAGGAAGTAGCGACCCTTCCCGCGCCCATTTATCTTAGCAGCGTTTTTTGCACTCTCAAGTGCTGCAACGGACTTGACCTTCACGTCGATTCGCTTCCCTTGGAAGGCAGGGTTCGCCAACCACAAGTTATCGGCAGCAAAGACATCTAACGCTGGCGGTGAGTGCTCTGGTGCTGGTCAGGGATCACAGACTGACCTAGTTCAGAGATCTGCTCCTCTGTCGCCGTGTCGGGATCTGGTGGTGGAGTGGGTGGGCGACGTGTTGCCTTGATGAGTTCGGACAGGTCCCCAAAGAACATAGCCTGTCGCAATGGCAGTAAGACCCTAAGACAACGCGCATGTGTTAATAACATTCCAGTCTCAGCAATAATGTAGCACGCACTCAGGGTGAACAACCTGATCCAAGCGTGCAATGGCCGTTGCTCCCCCGTCGAGGTAGATCAACAACTCTACCTTCCGCTCAAGCTTGGATTCTGGCTTGAGGGTGGGTCGCTTCGAGCGCTGAATATGCTTGTAGCCAGCAACGACACCAACAAGGCCCTTCTGATTGTGTTTACCAACAATCATGACGCGCTGACCAGTGTAGCCCTGCCCCGTGTGGTACAAGTCTCGCTCGATCTTGGCTTGCCTCTGGTCCTTCTCGAGAGCAAAGTTGATGTATTCTGGATCGAGCTTCTGGGTTTGCCAGCCGTGGCCACATACTCGTTGGTACCCGGTGGTGTCTGGTGGAAGGAGAGTGATCTTCCAATCTGGTACTCGAATCTGCACTGATGTTCAAGAACAGGTTATCGACAATTTGCCACGGCATGCACTTACGACCAGATCCTCTCGCGATGCATATGCCGCGTTGTTCATCTGCACGTAGTCAGTATGTAGATTGTCTATATTCCCATACGTATAGTTACCTTTCGTTCATCTCTCACAAATGTCCCATCGATACGCTTCTGGATTTCCCCAATTTCACACTGTTTACGTTGACTGAGTATCAGACAGACGATCTTCGTGTAGGCGACTCACTGGGTAGATATCCACAGACCCACCCATGTTGACCGCGACAATGAAGCCAATAACGCCTGGTTGAGGCCCGGTTATGACTTGGACTACATCTCCCGCTCGAAACTCAATAATGCACTCGGATCGTTTGACTGTCCCTCGGCAGAGCTCTCCATTGGGCCTGACGCCATGAAAATCAACTCTTTCTGACGACGTTTCCAGCCCCGTTGCTAGACCTGTAGCCAAATGAAATGTCGAATGCCCAAATACTTTGATTCGTGAGTGGTCACTGATCGACCGAGGCGGGCAGAGGACATGTCGATACAAGGAGGCCATCGGCACAACAAACGACTCCTTGCGCCTCATGGATCGCGCCGAGACGACGTCGGTGCCGTTGTAGTCTGCGAAGACTGCGCCAAGAGCAGACTCGAATGTGCCTTGTGAGACGATGCAGACCAGGATTCCGGTGTGGCAGTTGAATTTGGATTCGTCGTCGTCGACTACGACGAGATCCCCCACCTGCAGCCCAGTCTTGGTCGGGACATGAGAAGGGACATGGAGCAGGTTCTCTTGTGCGATACGAAACCACTGGAGCTCATCTGGCGTGGGCGGTGATCCCTGTTCGCGTAAACCGAAGTCCTTTAATTTGACCACTTCAAGTCCAGCGGCAGTGAAACGGCGGTTTCTCCACACCCAGAGATTGTCCACAGAATCGTAATCGATTTTCGCGCCGGGATGCATGTCCTGCACGCGCTGCCTGCCGAAGAGAATGGGGTCTGGTCTGGTCTTCTGGCCTGGCTTGCGAATGCGAGGAACAACCAAGCAGTAGATATTCTCGCGAATTGCCCAGCAGGTGTAGGCCAAATCTCCTGCAAAGATTCCTTCATCCAGGTGGACAAACACGCCGATGTACTCGCATTCTTTGGATAGTGACAGGACGCGAACCTTGTCCCCCCCGCAAAAGGGCGACTTGATCATATTCGGCTTTGAATGCTGCCAGCGATCAAGCACTTCGGAGAGCCAAGCACGGTGGCGGGTTTCAACATAGACGAAACCTCCAAACTTGCGAGGGTAAAACACAGAGTCGAGGAAGTCGTAGTGACTGAGGAATCGGGTCAAGTCAGGCTCAAAGCCTGGCCGAACGAGAAGGGGATACATCGGGGGGTCAAGCGCGTCGTCTGGCAAGCGATACAGGTGTTCCGCGTGGTCCATATCTTCATCGGTCGGACCAGAAATGTCGTGCAAATCAACGTTGTGCGATGGTCCTGCGTCCCTCGAGGCAATCTCCGCCCGTTTTGTACGGGAGTCCGGGCTGCCCATTGCTCAAGCAACTCGTGCTCGGATGAACCTGAGGTCTGGGGATCCTCAGAAATGTCCAGCTCCAGGTGTGGACGCTCGTTGTAGATGCTGTCGCGAGATTCTGGATCTTCTTCGGTGTCTTCAGTAACGAGCCAGTCCTCCACATCGACATCTTGGACGTCTTCTAGATCTTCCTCTCCCTCCGTCTCATCGGCTTCAATGCTCAGGTACTGCATGACTGATTGTTTCCTGGAGGCGGGCTCTGATTCGACACGCCGTTTCTTCGAGGGATTTGATTTGCTCCTCACACTGGAGATGCTCTGAGATGTAATAAGCTACATACATCTCTGTCAGTCGATCATATCGCACCGATTCTACCTCCACAAATCCGGTGCGAATAGGATTCGATCTCCCGAAGACTAATGGTTGCGGTGCATTGCCAACTGGTTCTGGTACATCGACAACGTGTTTAGTGGGCTGCTTAAGTGATTAGTGACCATGGGATTGTGAGCATAACAAGGCCCGTACAGAAGACGCTTCGCCACCTAGGCTGTCATTTGGGTGGCCGAAAATCAGTCCCTCCACTAGCACAGGTTCATGCCCCTGCGACTCAACCTCTCCTTCGTTCGCAACCGAGCTTGCAGCCGAAGGTCCACTCTCCCGCACTTGATCATCCCGACGATGGTCTTCATCTTGACCATCCTCTGCGGACTCCTGGGGCTTGCAGACATCGGGGGTCGGTAGGACGAGAGCTGCAGCAAGATGCGACTGCTCCTGGACGATGCTGTCAGGCAGAGCTGTCTCCTCCAAGGATCTTGACGCTGTCTCTGCACGCAGGATCGGAGATTGCGGAGGAGAGGGCTATGCGTGGTATTGAGACCAAGCAGCAAAGAGGAAGCAGATGCACGTACCGTGCAAGGAAGGAATAACGGAGTCTCTGGCCGACCCGGAATGGGGGTGAACAATCCGCTTGGTGATCTCCGCGTCGATTGTGTGTCAGTCATGCAATCTTCGGGGCAAGGCTGAGGGCGCTTCAGAATGAGGGCAGCCAGGCAACTCGACACTCACTGTCCCCAGATTAGACATCTGACGAGGCGCAGGGCTAGCGTGAGGGCACGCAGCGTCCGGAAGACGGTCGACGAAGCTAGCGGCGGGGCTTAGCGAGCCTAAGCAGCGTCTGTTAGTACTTACGCATAGATTCATCCGCGCCTTTGAATTCTTCTATTGTCTGGCACTTAACAGGCTTTGATCGTTTATGACTTATAGGGCCTTGAGCCCGACACTGAATACAAACTATGTACACGCTCTACTATGGTATACGCTGAGCTGGACTTACGAGCCATGGTGTTCAAGAGCAAGAGACGAAATCCCGATCACTGATCGGAGTGTTTGGCATTGTGCATGACTGATGGTTGGCAGACCGGCATGATTTCGATCCCGGTCTGCCAACCATCAGTTGTGGTCATTGTTATCGTTTGATGGTGGCAGTGCTGAATCGCATTTTGCTCCCAACGTCCACGATCTCGTCGTCATGTCTCATGAGTACATAGAAGTGATACGTGGTATATAGAATTAATAGCGTCTGAATCTGCGACGAGTAAGCTAGAAAGCCAAAAGGCAATAAAATGTGTCTGCTAACGGGATTTTAAAGATCGTTGCTGTCACATCGACCGGTTGTCTCCCACCTCAGCGCCAGGCCCGTCTTCCATCTCAGTGAGTGCTTTCACTGTGCAGTATATAAGCCTATTCATTGACCTGCCCGTGTCTGCACAGTTCCAGCGATGCCCAATCCACGTCACTCGTCGAAGAGTCCCATCAAAGCTCAGGCCTTTGCGCTGAGCAGTGTACGACCGCCGCAGCGGCAAGGCGCTTGGCGTCCGCCCCCCGTTTCTTGTGCCGACGGCGTAACACTGTATCAAGACTATGTCAGAGCCCCACCTGGTCAGGTCGGGTTTTCGCTGAACACTTCGCGCCTGGAGAATCTCGAGGGCCGGGAATCCCTGCATGTCAACGATGGAGTATACGATGAAGCTCACTACATAACGCCTCTGCATTCCGATGCAGTACCTGCCCCGACGGCGCACTCTGTGGCCCGAGAGAAGCAGGCTAAGCGCTGGGTCATGGAAACCATTCCCGCCCTACTGCCTGTCTACGTGGATCTCATGTACCGAACGGAGCGCCTGCGTCACCTTGATCGTGCAACTCCGTCTACGGCCTCCTGCATTTGCGGAAAACAGAAAGAGATTCAGGTCTTTCTCCTTCGTTGGCACGGTAGGTACTTTTGTGCACGTCCATCTTTTCTGCTTATAGGTTGCAGATTTAGACAAGGTTTCACTGCACCACTGTCCCTGTCGCCCAGCAACGCAGCAGCTTGTTGCCCGCGGCTTCTTTCCAAGCTCGCCCGTTGAACCGCACCTGGGTGTGGACATGCGAGTGCTAGATTTCACGCAGGATCTGTTCCTCAACCAGGCACCGAACAACCGTGCACTGACCAAAACGATTGAGCAGTGCCTGGACAGGCTAGGCTACAAACTGCCCAACCGTGTAAGGATGTTATCTCGCTATCTGTGAGCCAGCGCTGATGCTTTCCTCATAGGAATCCCTACGACGCCAATTTGGCAATGCATTAGAGTACTATGTCATGCTGCGCCATAGTACAGATCAGGCCATCGACAACATCCTCGCCACCGTGCGGCAGGGGATCCAGAATGAGGACGACAGCCATGAACGCCCAACCACACCAGGTCCGATGATCGCACGAACCTCTGTGCAGGAATCTCCGCGGAAGAGAGGCCGCAGGGAGTGGGACTCTTCTCCGCCGGCTTCTCCAACTAAGCGCACTCGAGCAGCGCAACCATCATCTCCGACACGATCTTTGTTGCCGTCTTCATCATCTCCGGTTAGACTGTCGTTGCCTTCATCGCCCAGTCGCCCACCAGCGTCTTCTCCGGAGCCGTCATCGCCTGTGGCCGAGTCATCACATCACACCTATCCATTCACACCGCCCGAGGATCGCCCGCGACCAAGTGAATACCTCCGGAGCCGATGTCCCGCCTGCTTCGGCGGCAAATGGGAGGACATGCGGGTAGCTCTTGATTGCATTGTTTGCGGAGACGCATGCTTCACGCAGAAACGGAACAAGGACCGAGGCTGTCGAGATCTGGAGCGCATGCATCCCAAGTCGTCTTTCTTGCCCGACCAAGCGACGCAGAAGATGGCTGACTGGGTCGAAGGAAAACGCCCTGCTCGTTCCGCCCCGAACACAGCTGCTGCACCGACATTAGAAGTTGATGATGACGATGTGATCGAAGCACCAAGCATTCCTCTGCCTCGATCCGTGCTCAATGAGTGCGAACGCTCCTTCGCTGCAGCGGATGAGACTAGAGCGAAGACCAGTTCCCAGTTCTTTGACGATAAGGGACTGATGGGCTTGTCGTGTTGTCACGATAACCTGCTGTTCCTAGCAAACATTAAGACACCCGGTGAGCGACAATTCTACATGTTTGCACTACTTGAAGCTCTGTTCCAGCACCTGCCGACTGATTTTGTCGTTGGCTTCCTTTACGACATTGCCTGCCAGTTACAACAATCTGCAGTCAAATACGACTTCTTGCCTCCAGAATACATGGCCAGACTGGAGTGGGCTGTTTCTGTCCTGCATTCGTACGGTCATGGAGCTGCCTGCCAAGCAGTCTATCATCCAAGACGCCGTACTCTATTTGGTTATTCGGATGGGGAGGGTCTAGAACGGTTCTGGCACTCCCTCAGCCATCTTGTCTCTTTTCTTCGTGTGTGCGGTGTGCGTGCTTGCCTTACATCTCCTGATGCCAGCTGATGATCCATATCCAGTATCACAAGCGCCGCTACACGCTGGATGCACAGATCATACACATACACAAGGGGAATTTGTTCAGATTGGGCAGCTGGCTCTCCAGGCGCTACGCTGATTGCTGTCAGCATAGACAGCACGCTACGAATGCTCTGGCTGAATGCCAGCATTCTCTATCGGTTCTGCATGCAGAGCATGCCAAACAAGTGACAGCCTTGTCACAGCCGTTACCTTGTACGTGTTTATCTTATCTCATCTTCTCGTATCTAGTCATCGCTTGTTCTATCTAATCTTATCGTGACTACAGGACAATCAAAGAACGCAGGGAAAATCGCCATACAAGATGTACTACGCAAGACAGTGGCAATGGATAGGCTGAAGAACCAGATGTCGCAGTGGAATGAAGCCATTTACAAGGAGGACGCAGACCCCGTATATGTCGACTTCGCTTTGCAGGAGTACGCAAAAGCAGACGCCAAGTTATCAAAACTTGCGGAATCAGTGCGGAGGCAGAAGGCAGTCATGGGTGTCGAAGACAAGGCAAACCTAGCGAAGCTGGTGAAGAGCAAGTACATCCAGACTCGCACCAACGCCGCCGCCGCAAAAACAAGGTTGCGCAATCGCTTGCGGCAGAGGAAGTTTGAGCTCGACAGAGTCGAGCGTCACTTCCATCGAAACAAAGCAGGTCACGTATTCCGTTGTCGGCTTATGGCAAAGGTCTGAAATGACTTCAGATGCTAAAATGACGACTCACATCGAGGATGCCGTGCGACGCCGCGACCGAAGTATCAAGGATGTGTGCAGGCTATACAACAGGCTCTGCAAAGAACTGGAAGAACTCATCCGTCTTGGTCGTGCTCCACGCAATGCAATTGCTCCTAGAGAAATCATTGAGCAGGACATATGGGCATTGGATGTCGATGCTGAAATCTGGCTTGACGTTGGCCTGATGGAGGCAGACGAGGAAACAGAGCCGCCACTGTGGATGAAAAGTGACGCAGTTCGTCAGGGTATCCAGGCCATGTTGGAGCAGGACCGCTGTAACGAAGAGGAGCCGCGTTTGTTTCATGAATGTCGGGCTTTGCGCTGGTGGATGGCCGAGGAATGGGAAGTGGTGACGCGCGGAATGAAGTTGGCCGCGGAAGACGGTAGGTGCCAGTTGCCATTGCACACAGTATTCGACTCCGTTTGACCTTATCCCTCTGCAGGTGAAGCTGCGATTGTCTATCAGTTCGAGCTTCGCAAGTCTGAATTGACAAAATTGGCTGCAGCATGGGAGAAACCGCTACGTCAGGTCCCGTATCCCACATCCGGGTTGCCAGCATGGGGCCCGTCTGAGGAAGATCTGCTCCAAGTCCGCATCGAGGACATGTTTGCTAGAACGTCGGTTGGCAGCTGGAAGGAGCCTGATACGCCATCATATCAAGAGGACATCGCATCAGACAGCGACTCTGGGACAGATACCGAATACTTTCCCTACGACGAACTGGACGCCTTCGAGCGTGCCGGTGATTGGCGGGAGCTTCAGGGTATCTCAGCGCACATGGACTATCCCGATTGGCTTTAGACAGACACATGGTCCTTTACGAATCTACAAACTATCCCCTTTTGCACTACGAATCGGACCATCCATATGGACATATGCATCCTGTGTCGCTTGTGTTTCCGCTTTGTATATCCTTCATGCCGAGCGCGTGGCTATGGTAATCTATAAACCCACAGAACTTTGTATGCGTGGGGTGACTATGTATCTCCTTGGGGTGAAGGAATACGTGGAATCTGCTGTTTGGTGAGGTACATCCGCATCAGTTTAATCGAGATTGACATGCATTTTTAGCGGTCACAATAACTTCTTTGCAAAGCTCGTCAAAAGTCTCCACCCTTACTCCCTGAACTCGAATCTCCTTTATGCGAGCCTCCATGTCGCCGACCACACCAAGATCCCCTGCCCACATCGTTCGGGGGCGCAATGACCTCTGTCTCGTCAAAAGCACGATACCGCAGAATATAGCGCGAGTCATTCGCCCTCGGAAGTTGCGGGTCCACGTCCAGCTCGTCACCAACGACTGCGAACGTCGCAAAGAGATTTTGGGCTGTGCGGTTCAACAGTATCAACTCATCTCCTTGACGCAGTATCGCGCCTCTTCGCCTAAGCACCTTTGGGTGGATTGCGTTGAGTGTCGCTTGCATATCCCGAGATGGTATGGGGCAGAGTATCGGGTTGTGGATGGTTCTTTCGAATCATCATCGAGTCTTTGTAAAGGCTGCGACGCAGTGGAACTTGAGGGGGACGATCATATCGGCAAGGTCTGCGGAATGAATAATTTACTGTTGAAGATTTGGCACTGACCAGCCATTCCAGTGTCAATGCGCGATATCCGGCGCTATCGATCTCTCAAACAGCAACTGCCCCCTCCACGCGGGTATGTTGCCGTTGGGTTTCTCAGAGTGGTGGCTAGCTAATTGAACTCTTTTCTAGCGAGGAACCGGGTCATCAAGGACGAAAGCTTTCCCGACGTATTCTACCTTCCAACTTCGCGCCAGGACCTGCGTATTGCCATCCATGATATAATCATGTTGTGGTACAAGGAATCCTTTCGCAAGGATCTTGGGCCCCAAGACTTTCGGGATCCAGCCTACAGTACTCCTGAAGAGGTTCGCCGACGAAACTATCACGAGGCGGAGTGCCGCAGAGTCATCGACGTGCTGAAAAGAGTCATGGAATATTCAGAGAAGGTCAGATTTCACTTACTGTGGCAGGTATTAGAGAAGCTCGAGCGCCTCGTACAACAATTCCCTGGTGAGTTGAGCTACCTATGCCATGAAAGCTACCGCGTTTACTCATACATTACAGATTGTGACTTACCCAGTGGGTTGCTACCTCCAGATATCACCGACGTTGGCAGGAGTGTTAACGGCAATGTGGGGAGAGACAATTACATAGAAGGAGAGCCCAGCGAGTCGTCCTACGTTACGACCATCTGTCAGCGAGCCTTTGTCAACTAGAGAAGAGCGTATTTGCTCTGTACTGTCCATAACACATAGAGTGGAATCTTTTGGGACAATTACTGATACGGCGATTGCCCATTGAAAATGGAAATGAGTTATGGGCCTCTGTTGTACGTCAGCACTGTAAATCTCAAGCGGGCAAAAGAAAATTGTAATCGAGTGCTCTAGTGAAGGTATGAAATAATACAAGACTTGGGATTACTTGTCTTAGCGTCCAGAAGCAGGCTCATAATTATCTTGGCACTGGTGGGCGGCCCCGTAATTATCTTGGCGATTGGCGGGTGGCCCCATAGTTATCTAACCGATATGGGCGGCCCCGTAATTATCTTGGCAATTGGCGGGCGGCCCCATGATCATCTAAGCGATATGGGCGGCCCCGTAATTATCTAACCGATATGGGCGGCCCCATAGTAATCTTGGCAATAGGCGGGCGGGCCCACACTTTCCTTGGGCGGGCCCATAACTCTGTGGGCGGGCTCACACTTGCCTAGGCGTCAATATGTCACATACATTTTTCCTGTGCTCAGGAATCATCTGTCGCTGAGAATATATCTACGTTCGAAAGAGAATATAAAAAACATCTGTATGCATCATTCACTCAAGTCATAAAGCGCACAAGATAAGGATTTTTTTTCTTCGAGTCCATAAGCCTACAAAATAGTGACTTGATATATCCTTAAGAGAAAGAATAAGTCATGTTACATTCATAATATGTTCATAAATACAAGTCATATGTTACATTCTATGCCAGTTATTGCGTAGGTTGCAAAAATATACATGACTTTTACTTTCCAAATAGGCCAAAAAAACAGAAAATTTTCGGGCGCTGCGCGCGCTATCAGGACCCCGGGAGCCATGGGCACGCCCAAGGCCGCCCACTGGCCGCCCATGGATTTTTGAGTGGGGCCGCCCAGAGCATTGGGGGGGGCCCAGCAGCCGCCCAGCCCACAGCCGCCCACTACCACTGAGGTACCTTGTTTGGGCCTCAAAAAGGTACCTCTCGAGGTACAAATGTGGGGTGTCCAAGGTGGTAAGGACGTCATCTTGCTGCTTGTGAGCCAGTGCTGACGCTTTCCTTGTAGGAATCCCTTTGACACCAATTTGGCAATGTTGATCAAATATCATCTGTCAAGATGGATGTTGCTATGACTCCATCATGTGTCATCTAGAGTCATGTCGACTCATCCTAAATAGACACAAACAGCCCCCTGTATCATATATAAGGAGAGCTCTATCACCCTTTAATACAAGTCTCTTGACTACTCCCGCATAGTGCCCACACTAAGCTCTCAACTCACACAGGTGGGTTGCTAGACACTCTTCCCAGTGCTCAACAGGTTATGGGCCCCGAGAGCTATGTCTGTGCCTTAGTGGCCGTGACATTCATTGTATGCGCCATCACTGGCTGCAACAATGAGCAGCATCTTTAGCCTAACTGTCATCACTTCAGCTGCTGCATAGCGCTGGTGAAACCATGCTGGATCGCGATTACATTACTTGATCCAGATGCATCGATCTCTGAAGGAGATTATGATCTATGAGGATCTGATCATCTTGATCTTTGATTTCATCTATCAGATTAGATTGATGCTGATTCACTCACACAGAGCAATATGTTGTCCAACTCCAACAACATCTTCAATGCTGTCTCCGTCTTTAATGGAAAGCACTGGCTTGTCTGGTCCGGTACTATGGAGTCCTATCTGGAACATCAGGGGATGTCCTATGTGCTGACTGAAGCTGTGCCAACCTCAATCAGAGTGGATGGTGTTGTTACCAACGCATCAGAGATCAAGCAATAGAAGCATGATGACCTCAGAGCCAAAGGCAGCATTAAGTTGTGCCTAACTAAAGGTGTCATTGCTAACATTCCCTCCACTGATATAGTGTCAGCTGCCAAGATCTGGGAGCATCTGAAGACCCAATATGGTGGTGCTCATTGCACCAACCTTTATATGTACTTCCAAACCGCATTGAACGCCAAGTACAACGTGGGGTTGCACCCGGATCCCCAGCTGCTGGTGATCACTACAGCGTTCACTCGCCTGGAGAATTGTGACAATCAACCCAAAAACAAAGTCGAAAAGAGAAGTGAATTCGAAGACTGGAGAATACAACCAAGTAGTTACAGTATTTATACCCAAATCCAGTCTGAGTCATATCTACAACTAATGAGTCATAAGGCTATGTACCGCATGGAGCACTGGTCATGGGTTGAGGTAGAACCTTCTGGAGCATATGTCGCGCAGCCTCGAATCGATAAAGATAATCCCTGGAGCCCCTAGCCCGGACCGTCTGATGCTGTGATCCATGATAAGATAATCCGTGCCAAGATAAGATGAGATTGTTGATAATAAGATGAAAAAGTGGCCAAACTATGACATTACCCCCTCTCTAGGGTCGATGTCCTCATTGACTAGGCCAATGGGCATGAAGACATTCTCATAAGGGTCAAAGAGTTGTTGTTGGGGGTACAGAAGGCGCTCGTCTCTGGGTTTGTAGCAGTGAATGAGATAGCCCCAATGTCCGGCTTCGAGTGTTGGCAGGAGGCGAATGCGTGTGTCTGGGTTTGATTGTTTCCTCTGCCAGTCTCTCAGGACCTTCTTTGCGTGGGTAAGGTGACGTGATGGTTCCCAGGTGTTCTTGCTATGCGGCCATCCCTTCCATTTGACCAAGTAGTGTTTTCCTCGGCCAACGTTTTGCTCTTTCACAATGTCTTCAACTTCCCACTCCTCTGCTCCTCCGATCATCTTGGCTATGGGCCTCTTCTCTCGGTGATGGGGGGGTGGTTTGTGATAGGGTGTTAACAGCGACTCGTTGAACACTGGGTGCCTTTGGTCCATGTCCGGCAAATCCAGCTTCCATGCAGCCGCTCCAATCTTCTCCAGTATCTTGTATGGCCCCAATCTCTTGTCGCTCATCTTCTTCAAAGGCCTGTTTGTCTCGATATTGTCCCCTTCTATGTACACCTTCATCCCAACCTTCAACTCCGGAACTTCTTTTCTTTGTTTATCATAGTATTTTTTTATTTTTTATTTTGCTTTTTCTAATGCCGCTTTTGTTTTGTCTTGTATTTCTTTGATTCTTTTTACAAACTCCTCTGCCGACTTGTTTCTTGATTCCATCCACTGCTCCACTCCCTTCCATGGGTGATATCCATGATTCGCGTAGAATAGTGATATTTTGGTAGACATGTTCATTTTATTGTTATATGCAAACTCCGCCATTCCCAGCCACTCCGACCAGTCCGTCTGATGATAATTGACGTAGATGCAGAGATAATGTTCAATCTCCTGATTCATGCGTTCTGTCTGCCCATCTGTGATCAGGTGATACGCGGTCCCCGGATTCATTTCCACACCCAACATCCGATTTGTCTCCTTCATGAAGCCCTTGATGTATCATGAGTCCCTGTCGGTGATGATCTTGCAAGGGATCCTGTGATAGCGGAAGACTTGGTCCCTGGTTAACCGTGCTACTCCTTTGCTGCTGATGTCAGTACTAATTGGTTTGACATGGATCATTTTGGTGAAGGTGTCACACCACACATGAATTGTG